TCGATTCCCTTCCAGTGTAGGAAGCTCTCTTCTTCAGTATCATCCTGTGCTTACCCTCAACACATTGTTTATCTCACTTTATTGCTTTTAAGCTTTGACATCTTCTCTCCAACCAGACTGGAAACTCTGAAGACAGGCACAGTCTCTCTCTGAGGACTGTTGACCACTGTAGCCCCAGGACCTCCTGCAATGCCGGATACGGCAGAGAGCACTGGACACGTGTGTGTTGACTTCATGAGTGAATAAGCGAGGGTGAAAAAAGAGAATGTTCTAGAGGCACAGAGAATGCAAAAATGAATTCCAGATGGAGAATTAGTCTCCAGGGAGAACTGGCATTTGAGCTAGGCCTGAAAAGAGTGGGTCAGGTCTCAGCAGAGGGAGATGTGAAGGAGAAGCATTCCCAGCAGAAGAAATCATGTAGGCAGGGAGGTGGGCGTTGTTCAGGGTGTGTTTTGTCAAAAGTATATGCATCACTGTAGCTTAGTATGGAGCGTGCGTGTCTGTGTGTGCATTGGGTGTGTGTGAAGAGGTGTGAGTGTATGGTGTTAGGCAAGTGTATATGTGTAGTTGTGCAGGTGGCTGTGGCTGTGAGTGGATGTGTGTGTATACCGTGAGTCTGAGTAGGTATGAGTGTACGAGTATATAGGTGTGTGTTTATGTATAGGGTCGTGTACAGATGCATAGGTATTTGGCATTTGTAGACATGTGTGTAGGTGTGTGCATGTTTAATTGTGAGTATGTATAGATGGGTCTGTGTGTGCATGGCATACATGTATGTGTTTTAGTGTGAGACTATGTATAGGCTGTATGTCAGAGAGAACGAGAGAGAGAGAGAGAGAGAGAGAAATAGTAAATGCCAGATACAGAGAGAATAGTGAGGTTGATTGGACCGCTATTATATCGAGGGATTTTATCGTAAAGGGGAGTCTGGATTTGGTTCTGTAGGTGCTATGGGTCATGGAAGGATATGGGTAGAGGTCGATTTATAATTTTGGTGTTTAGATATATGTTTTTAGGAGGTGGCTTTGGAGACCAGGAGACCAGTCGTGAGGTTGACTTAATTGTCTCTTATAAGCATCTCATAAATAGATCAAATAAGATCAAATGCTCACATCCCTTTGAAAGAAGAGATACGTACATCTATTAACCTAATTTCTTCCAGCCTTTTGCAGTCTCTGTGACATCTCTCTGAATTCATCCAGACATGAGGGGTGGATATTAACTTGAGACATACAATTTCTGGAGAGGAAATTATCTCTACTCTGAGAAAATATTGGCTGAACATTTTGATAAGTAATCACTGCCCTTTCACAAAACTCTTTCTAGGAGCTGAAGAGCAATTAGCTTCCTAAAAGCACTATATTTAAATTTTATTAATAAGGATGGGAAAAATCATTACAAAGTTAATTTCCTCTTTTTATATTTCTTTTAGCAAAATCACTTTTCTCCATCAGGGGCCAATTATTTTTCTTTGTCCTCACAACTTCAGTATATTTGCTGAAAACACTCAAAGGTTTATCACTAAAATTCAGTTTGTTGTGAAGGTAAAGATTTTTTTCCTCCTCTCACACAGCCTATTTGAGTGAGTTGGGTGCTGTTTTTAAGTACAAAAAAAATTCATGATAGAGATTTAAAAAAAAAAAACCAGTCTGTTCATAACTTTCTCTTTTGTATAGAGAGTTTATTAGAATTAAAATAGTGCTCAGAATAATGCCTAATACATAATAAGTGCCCAATGAATATCAACATTTACTGTTACAAGAGCACAAGAAATGCCATCACCACCTTATTTCTCTCTTCTTTCTATTTCTTAGCTCAATATTCATTCTCAGAGAGGTTATTCTCTCATGACGACCCTATCTTCCTAGTCCCAGCAAAAGTCCCAGGGGAAACTCTCATTGGCTCAGCTTAGGTCACATGCACATTCCCGAGCCAATTGCTGTAGCTGGGCGGACTGCATGTACTGATTTGAGAAATAAAGGACATGTACCTATTCTTGAAATTGGAAGCAGACATCTCTCCAAGGGAAAAGTTAATATGCTGTAGCCAAAACACTGGTAATGGATGATGGACAGCTACAATAGCAAAGGCTATTATAGAACCCTTGGGGAAACGTGGGGAAAAGCATGATTTATGTCTAAAATCACTGATGTGGAAAAAACTGTGTCCAAATCAGACTAAAGCTAGTATCAAGATAAACTTTTATGAAGTTAAAACACAGGATAATATGAACTCCCCTTAAATAGGATTTTCTTCCCCATTGATGACAAAATAGCAACACACAGTCTTGGGCATTCCTCTGCAGGCTTTACATATATTAACTTCTTTAGTCCTCTCAGCAATCCTATGAGTTATACCACTATCATCACCCCAGTTTTCAGATGATGAAATTAAGGGGGAGACACGTGAAGCCATTTACCCATGTGGCACAGCTGGATTTTAAGCCAGGGTGGCTGTCTCCAGAGTTCACACTCTTGACAACTCCGCAACTCTGTTTCTCTGAGGGTGTATTTGCTATTCTTTAAAAATTCCCTCTTTTTCTATTTAAAAATATTAATTAATTTGGTGCAAGTGTTTTCATCACATGGATGTCTTATATAATGCTTAAGTCAGGGCTTTTGGTGTGCCCATCACCAGAGTAGTGTTCATTGTACCCAGTAGGTAAGTTTTGATCCTATCCTCCCCCCTCCTTAGTTTCTCATGTCCTTTATGTCACTCTGTGCCCACATGTCCCCATCTATTAGCTCCCACTTATTAGTGAGAACATGTGGTTTCTGGTTTTCCATTCCTGAGATACTTCCCTTAGGATAGTGGCCCCCAGTTCCCTCCACATTGCAGCACATGACATTATTCCATTCCTTTTTATGACTGAGTAGTACTCCAGGGTATATAAATACCACATTTTCTTTATCCACCCATGAACATCTTTAATGCTAGCAACAACCGCAATAATAAAATAATGGCAGCTGCCACGTATGTTACATGTCATGCTAGGTTCTGTGTGCCATGTTTTAGGTACATTTTTGGCTCATTCCAACCTCACTCCAGTCCTCAAAGGCATACCCTGTTGCTCTCTACATTTTACACATGGAGAAAATGAAGCTCAGAGAGGTTAAGTGACTTTCCCAAGGCTACTCAGCTAACTGTTGAAGCCAGGATTAGCACTTAGTTCTATTTGACTTCAAAAGCCATTCTCTTACCCGGTGAACTACCCAGCCTCTTTTGAAGGTTGTGTTTGAGTTTTCTAAGATAAGTGTAAAGAAAAGGGGTTGATACAACATGTTCCAAAAGGAAAAGCTTGTATATCTCTTTATCTGTTTGCATATTTAGGATTGTTGGTGTGGTCCTTGTCCTGCACGGACTGATAGTTCCAGAAAGACAGGAGGCGTTCTGTTTTATTCACAGTTGTTTTCCCAGGCTCGTGCCAGCACTTAGTAGGTCCTCAAAAAAAATCCATGTTGAACGAATGAAGAATTAAATGAGCTCGACATTCTCCCCAACCTGTGTGACACATCATAGCACAGGTGGACAAACGTGTTTGTTTGACCAAATTATACCACCGACCTTCCTATCTTACAGAAGATGGTATCAACGAAGCTGGACAATTTTGTGATTAAGCCACTCAGGTGTTTCTTTACAGCCAGCAAAAACTTTCCTGCCCGAAACGATGAGGGTAGTCTCAGAGAGCGCCGACTCTCTTCTCTCCCCCAACCCTGTCACCTCTCCTGGTGTCCGGCGTGCCTGCATCCTATTTAAGGGCCTGAGGCTCGTTTCTGGTGACACTCACATTACAGGAAGAGAGGGGAGCGGGCTGCGTCAACACAGACAGGTCTGGACTTGGCTCTTAGCTTTTCCGACGAGGTGTTTTCCTTGAGGTTGGCGTTACAAATAAAGCGCTGACCCGTGGTGTCAAGCAATCGTGCGTAGGAGCCGGAGGAGAAAGGAGAAGAGAGAGCTGCGGGGGCAGCTCTCTCCCGGCATGTATGCGAATAGTGCCAATAAGCTGTCAAATCAAATTAAAGTTCAAAACATACAGCCCTCAATTTGATTTCACTCAGATGCCGACCGCTGCTCAGAGGGAATACGATCGATTCTGTTTTGACAGGTCTTGATGTGCGCTAAGCAGGCGCAGTCTCCGCTCTGCGCCAGATTAATAAAAGTTCACCTTAATTTGCAACTTAAATAGAACCATCTCTGGGGTTGAAGTGACGCTTCTCTTGTCCTCACCTGCTCTGCCCACGCTGTGTCGTCTCATCCCCCAGTCCTCTTCTCCTTTTTACTCTTCAACCTCATCTTCCTCTCCTGTTTCCCCCTTTTCATTCGTAGCACCTTTTTAAATGTTTCTCCTTTTCATCTTCTCTCCTCTATACTTACTATATATATATATATATATATATATATATATATATATATATATATGCGTGTGTGTGCATATAGGATCCCTCCCATGTGCCAGGCACGGTGCTTTTGCTTCTCATGCATCGCCTTATTTAAATTCCAGGACATCCTTATGAAGTGGGAGGACAATGTGCCTGCTTTACAGATGAGGAAACGGAAGCTCTTCGTGCTTTAGAGCTTGCCTGGCATTGTGCAGCTGGCAGGTGGCAGAGCTGGGGAATCGGGCCCAGACCTCTCTGACTCTAAAAGTCTGTGCTCTGTCCATGGCATCAGTGGTCCTGAACTCTGGAAGAACATTAGCACTACCCAGGGAGCTCTAAATTACTGTCAGAGCTTGGGCACCACTCCCAGACATGCGTATTTAATCCCTCTGTGTGTGTGTGGGGGGGAGGCCGGGATGGGGAGCTGCCCCCCAATATTCTGTTCTCTCTTTATGCCCATTTCTCTCAGCCCGCAAGCAGCTGCATATGTTCAGGTATGCAGCAGAAAGGCCCTTACGACTGCAGGATCCCTTCTCCTGCACCCGCTGCGGGGAAGGCCCTGCCTCTGGAGAAGTCCGTGGTGCCAGGAAGCACAGACGTGTCTTTGTGCTTGTGATGCAGGTGGGCAAGTGGGAGAACCAGACCCTGAGCCTGAGGCACGCCGTGTGGCCCAGGTACAAGTCCTTCTCCGACTGTGAGCCAGACGACAACCATCTGAGCATCGTCACCCTGGAGGAGGCCCCATTTGTCATCGTGGAAGACATAGACCCGCTGACCGAGACGTGTGTGCGGAACACGGTGCCGTGTCGGAAGTTCGTCAAAATCAAGTGAGTGTCACGGATGCCGGAGGCTGGGTGTGCCCAGTCCTTTACAATAGCATGTATCCTTGATAATAACGTGGCCCATAATTTAATAATAGCATGCAATATAAAATATACTCTATTATAATAGCTATAACGTAATAATTGATTTAAAAAAGACTCAAATGAATGCCTGGAGATGCACCAAGCTTGCATTCATTTAATTCCAGCAGCAATATGAGGTGAGTAGTTTTGCCTTTTGTAAATAACATGGTCAAACTGGCTTATAGGGAGATTAAGAAATACGTTCAAAGCCACCCAGCTAGGAAATGGAAGAGGTAGGCCACAAACACCGGCTCATACCACAGTTGTATTTTTAACCCTTGTGTTGAATCAATCCTCCCTTTCAGTCTTTTTGAAAACAATTATTTCTTCTGTACTTTTCTGGCTGCCCCTCCCACCACTCCCTTTCCAGCACGTTCCTCTTCCTTCCAGCTCTTTTCTATTTCCCAGATCCACACTTTTCAAAAATTGTAAGAACTTCTCTCCAGTTGGGGTTAAACACACGCCTTGCATCTCTGATGAGATTCAGGTGGAAACTGAGCTTCTAGCAGTTTCCCAGCTCACCAGCAGCAAGCAAGCATTGCCTCTGTGTCGCTTCCCCTTTTTGTTATGTCTGAAAAAGGACATGGAAAGCTCCACGGCCAAGCCCAAGCCCAAGCCCCTGATCATGGTCTTCCCTGATGTAGACATGAGCCGCCATTGTGGAGGTCTCGCCAAAGGAAAAGGCCCACTACTGGATGTAAATCTGTCTTTCTGAGTATTTTCTCATCGCTTCCTTTATTTGCCAGACTTCAAGCTATACTACAAGGCTATAGTCATTAAAACAGCATGGTATTGGCACAAGAACAGGGACATTGACCAGTGGAACAGAACAGAGAACCCAGATATGAAACCATCCTCATATAGCCAACTAATCTTCAACAAAGCAGACAAAAACATACACTGGGGAAAAGAATCCTTATTCAATAAATGGTGCTGGGAAAACTGGATAGCTACATGTAGAAGACTTAAACAAGACCCACACCTCTCACCTCTCACAAAAATCAACTCACGCTGGGTAACATACTTGAACCTTAGGTGTGAAACTATTAGAATGCTAGAGGAAAATGTTGGAAATACTCACCTGGACAATTCTTAACATGTCCCTTAAGTTTGGCCACTGCCCCCCCAAGGTGATTAGCTACCCCCACGGTACCCTGGGCATATCCCCATCCCTACCCTTATCACCTGTCTTTATAGTTTCTAGTTTGTCTGTCTCTTTTCCTGGCTTGTGAGCTGTCTACATATAAGGAATGCAACTTATTAATCTTTCTACACTCAGTTACAAGGACAGATATGCCGATGTTTGTTTCATGACTAGACGACGAACAGGTTCTTTTACTCCCACGTTGCAAACTCCAACCTCCATGGCTATTAAACGAGATGCAAGTGCCCAGATCTCAGTGCTTGGCATCAGGATATACTTTAAAATATATATATAATTCATAAATGTATTGTGTGAAGTTTACTATTTTGGTTTGGAGACCATTTTATCAATGAGGTCATTAAAGTCAGCATCTTTGGAGTTGAGATTTGGAATAGATCATGCGATAAATAAATACATTCCTCCTACCTAGGCCCTCCCCCTCTCCAGTGCCCCCACTTGGGTCCCAGGGCTGGACTTTTCCTTTGGTAAACAGTCCCCCTGCCTCGAGGTCGAGGGGGAGGTGAGGCACACCCAGGAAAGGCAAGGAGGCAGCCCTGTTTGGAGGCATGCGGGTTTTAATAATTTTTGCTGGATTCCTTTACAACTAAATGACACAGATATTATTATAAATAAAGTTATAAAAGAAGAATAAATAAGTAAGTATGCATTAATCACAGTTTATGTGTCAGGCACAGTTCTGGGCATAGGGGATAGATACATCGATGAACAGAGAAGACAAAAGACAAGGACCTTGCAGCTGTGCATTGTACACTGTTAGCAAACAGCTGGACCAGTGAGGGAACAGGGCAACTCCATGCTGGGATCAGCCCTGTGCGGGTTATAAAGAAGGAGGTGTGAGATGAGAGTAAATTGGGTATGTGGGCCACTTTAGCTCACACAGGTAAGGTTTCAGGTGACATACAAAGGGTGAGAAGAGGCCAGACATGTGAAGATCTGCGGAGAGAGCCTCCCAGGGAGAGGGGATGGCAGGTGCAGAGGCCCGGAGGAAGGGAGGGGCTTGGAAGTTTGGGAAGCAGAAGGAGACCCAGGGCCATGCAGGAGAGTGATGAGCTGCAAGAAGGATGGAGAGAGGATAAAGTGGGGAAATTGTCACAGGAGGATCTGACTCAGGTGGATGTTCTTTGAGCAGAACTTGGGCAGATGAAGAAGGCAGAGTGGCTGGCAGAAAGCCAAGCATGTACCCGTGGCAGGACACCTCCGTCATGGTAAGGAGGTCCTCCATGTGTCAACAGGGCTGATCACAGTGGGGGTGGGGGTGGGGGGGCTCCTGTGTTTCCCAATCAATAATAGGAATTTAGAATCTTTAAAACCAAAAGCCCTGGAGCTGGAAACAAGTAGATCCCCAGGTCCCGAGTCACATTTGTATGAAGGAAAGGAACCAAAATAAATCACTCTCTTTAAAAGAATTGACTTTTCCACCGAAGACTATAAACAGCTTAACAGGTTCAAATACACGTTCTTGGTTTCTGCAGGGAGGTAGTAGCTTGAAGCTTTCCTTTTTCCACTTGGGGAAATGAGAACTTTACTGTGTGTCTAGGTAAAATTATTAAAGTCTTTGACTTACCTGACAGCAGCAGAAAATTACCAGGATCCGCGAATCCCAACATTAACCCAGATTAGATCAATTGCATTTCTTAAAGGTAGCATTTTCGAGGCAGGCAAAAAAGTATTCCTGTTAGACAACATGATCGTATTTGTTTTCTCGGTAATAGTTTTACAGGGAATACCCTTTGTTTCTCACTTCTGGTAAATGGTGGGGCCTCGAAGGCACACATCAATCTTCTAAAAACCCAGGTAATGAGAAATGAGCTAAGAGATCAGACTTTCCTTCTAGTCTGCTAGATGGGTGGTAAAGACGTGGAGAAAACGTTGGATAAGGTCTTTGGCCTGGTATGCAGGAAGAAATGGTCATACTGTCAATCAGACCCTCAAACTATCAAATCATTGGCAGAAAGAGAGGACACTTATTTTTAAGTGCTTACAGGAGAAGTGCTTTAGAGACTTTATTTAATCTTCTCCACTGTCCTGCAAAGTTAAGTATCCGATGCTCAATTTACAGATGAGCAGACTGAGGCTTTGCATGGGGCGGGACTTCCCTGAGTTTCCAGGGTTGAGAGGAGCCAACCCAGGAACTGAACGCAGCTCCGTCGGAATTGCACGGCGCTGCTCTTACCCACTGGCTCCGCTGGGAAATGGGAGGGCCAGTAAACTGGACCATTTGTTGGATCCCTTTCCCCATATTTATTTTTATGAGTCATTTTTGTCTTTTGGGTGGCGGTAGAGCGCTGAGAGAGATGGCACGGGGACCATTTCTCAGATGTCTGTGTAGTTAAGTCACACCCCCTCCACACCCACGCAGGGGCTGTAATAGGAACCGGCAGAAGTTTCCAATTACAAGCTGGTCTGCGATTCCATGATCACCACGATAAATTCAACCGTCGCAGTTGCTGCGTGTCCTTTCCATCCTGCGTCCCCAGGGACCCGGTTTCATGTCTTGCACATAGTAGGCACTCAGTGGGTACCTGTTGGGTGAACACGCATCAGTGACCGTCTGTACGTAGAAATGCACCTCGTATTCGGGGATGTGTGGGGATACGTATCCCATAAACCGGCTGAGGTTTCCAGTGAGACCAAAGAAAGCCACTCAATGCCTGTGGCCCCGAATCTTACACCTGGGGAATTCGTAACTTCCGTCTAAACTCGGGGATCTTGACCGGGTGGAGGAAGAGGCTGTGATAGGAGGAGCAGGGAAGGAGCAGAGAGTGCAGGAGTTGCAAATGAGCAGAGGTAGGGAGGAGGCGTCCTCCCTGCACGGCCTACAGTGGCTGGGAAGGAAAAGAGAGATTTCGATTTTGATACATTTTTCAGAGCCACATACAGCAAATAAAAAATGGTTTCTGGTCATCTCATTAATTTAATGTACTTAGGAGACAATTCTATTGTATTCATGGCAGTTTTAACTCCAGAGTGACCCCCTCTGCTCTGGGTAATTGGTGGGGGTGGGGCAGGCACCTGCCTCCCATGACGCCACAGCATTGAGGCCACCAATCATCACATGCGAATATAGGCAGATGTGGCCACCCCCTGTCCCAAGCTGAGGGGTCATTGAGCCTCTGGACAAGAGAGCGAAGTCTCCACGGTGGTCTGGGCTGACAGAGGCAGGATGGTTGAGCAGAAGCCGGGGGAGGGTGGGAGGGGCGTAATGGTGAAGCTAGCAGTTCAGGAGAGGTGATCTGTGATCCTGAGATGAAGGGATGCATTGGAAAAAAGGTGTCATTTGCAACCTGCTTCCATTATTCAAAATTTTATTGTCAAGTCTGTCCACAGTCACATGTAAATATTGATATACATCAATGGTGCTTGATGTGTGTGTATCTCCAATTACATGGGTAGTACATACTCACTAGGTAATTTGGGGGGAAATGCCCTAAAAACACGAAAAAGGAAAAGCTGTTTTCCACTATTCAAAAGAGCTATGCTTCATGTTTCATTGTTTTTCTATAGCTCGTCTGTTCTCACATAGCTATGGTTATTCTGTTTGTGCTACTGTGTAACCTACTTTTTTCATATGATGTGGAAACATAAGTATTTTCTTATTATGATGTTAGGTTTCCATAAACATCATTTTAGTGCTTAGGTAACACTCCAATGTGTCGATGTGCCCAAAATGGAATATGCAAACAGAGCACATGTTTCATGACAGGCATGACTCAAAGATAGAGTTGAGCTAACAGATGTCCCAGTGCACGGTGGAATGGAATAAAGTGTACTGCCCAAAGAGGCCTTGGTCTTCCTACATGAGTTGTCTAAGTACTTTTGCTATCAGTGGGGGGTAGTGTTTGCTACCTTTTTGAAAGGTGTTTATGGCTTGTGTGCGTGTCCTTTGAGTATGATTTGGTCAGGTGAATAAAGCAGGGTGGCTCGTACAAAGCAATGAGCATAACCTTGGGGGATTATATGACATCATTTGAAACGGCAATGCTCTCTGTATGCCAGTCGGGCTCTTTGCTCATCAAGAACATTGATTTTTAAAAAGTGCCACCTTTTATACCTCAGGCCATGTAGGCAGGTAGTGCAAACGTTATGAATGAGCCCTCATGTAACATTCAGCTCTATCGAGAGAAGTTGAGTCCATGAGCTCAGGCATGAGGTAGGACTCAGGTCTCCTGACTCTTAGCTGAGGAATTTTCTAGGTACCCTAACCTCTTCCCTTTGGTTTCAAGCCTCTGTAATGATGGGACGAAGTAAAACCCTACTTCACCCGAGGATTCCACATCCTTCTCTCTTCCATGTCCCAATAACTTTTTATGATTTGGTTTAGATCAGATGACTAAACTCTGGTCTAAAGAGGTTGTATGTGTTATAAACACATAAAAAAAAAAAAAGAGTTGGTAACTCTTACCTGTTTAACGGCAGTAAAAATACCACCTAATTTAGAGAAATGTCATGATTCAAAAATTAATATAAAGCACTTAGGATAGTGCCTTGCAAATAGTAATTACTCAATAAAGGTTAGCTGTTGTCATGATAACTGCTGTGATTAAGAACACTTTCTACTTTTGCTGTCACACACTCACTGCAGGTCCCTTGGAAAAGCCACTTCCCCTTTCGGAGCTTCACTTTCCCATCTGGAAAACAGGAGAAGGGTGTAGCTGAGGATTGTGAGCAAACCTTCCAGTACTAACATTCTGTGGTCTTGGGATTTTCCTTACAGCAATTCAACCAATGAGGGGATGAATGTTAAAAAATGCTGCAAGGGTTTCTGCATTGATATTCTAAAGAAGCTCTCCAGGACTGTGAAGTTTACTTACGACCTGTACTTGGTGACTAACGGGAAGCATGGCAAAAAAGTTAACAATGTGTGGAATGGAATGATTGGAGAAGTAAGTTGCCTTTTCACCCCGCCCAGCACACATTCAGACGAAGGGCTTAAGATCCTTAGGGGTGTAGGGAGGAAGAGTAAAAGTATTGCTGTGTCTTTGTTTTTTTTTTTTTGCCTTGCATCCAGGTGGTCTACCAGCGAGCAGTGATGGCAGTGGGCTCGCTCACCATCAACGAGGAGCGCTCTGAAGTGGTGGACTTCTCCGTGCCCTTCGTGGAGACGGGCATCAGCGTCATGGTTTCGAGAAGCAACGGCACCGTCTCGCCTTCTGCTTTTCTAGGTGTGTGAACCTCATAGCAGCTGTTGCTTTCCCACAAGGAATTAGATGTGCTCTTCCTTGTTTGCTATCAGGATGGGACCTTGTTCGTTTCTGTTTGATCATGTCCACGCGTTCCAGACCATGTTGCATCTGAATTATGCCAATTCACCTTTTCCCCTGGTTCGCTCACATCTTTAGCTTGGAAACACCTGCTGAAAAAAAAAATACTGTCACATATTCAGATAATGGTTTTGACTCTGCAGAATGTAAATGAATAGATACGTTGCTTAGAGCCACCTTGAAAACATTTTAAAAATAAACCTGTCTGTCCACAGTTAATTAATTAATTAATTTTATTTCAGCATATTATGGGGGTATAAATGTTAAGGTTACGTATATTGCCCTTGCCACCCCTTCCCCCTCCCACCTGCCCAACCCCCGATAAATGTCATTCCTATATGTCCACTAAAGTGTTGTCCGTTAATACCAATTTGCCAGTGAGTACATGTGGTGCTTGTTTTTCCATTCTTGAGATGCTTCACTTAGTAGAATGGGTTCCAGCTCTATCCAGGAAAATACAAGAGGTGCTATATCACCGATGTTTCTTAAAGCTAAATAGTACTCCATGGTATACATATACCACATTTTATTAATCCACTCCTGTATTGATGGGCACCTGGGCTGTTTCCACATCTTTGCGATTGTGAACTGTGCTGCTATAAACGTTCGAGTGCAGGTGTCCCATTTGTGGAGTGTCATTTGATCTTTTGGGTAGATGCCCAGTAGTGGAATTGCTGGATCAAATGGTAGGTCTACTTGTATTGCTTTAAGGTATCTCCATATTGCTTTCCACAGAGACAAAGCAGACAAAAACATACACTGGGGAAAAGAATCCACAGTTAATTTAAATCAGCCCAATAAACCCTTACTCAGCATCCACATACCCATCCTCCATCCTACACAGAATGACAGTCATTTATTTACTAGATGTAAGAGTGAAGATAATGATTACTGCACAATGATTGATGGCAGTGTTTGTATAAAAGAAGTAGAAGTAGTCTGAAGAGAATCCACTGATTTAAAATTAATGAAATCACATTTTAAATGTGGCTATCCATTAAGCCAAATGGTTTATAAATCAGGAGATTTTTTGACTCTCCTTTGAACCATTTCATAAATTTATGTTTTTACATAAAATATATTTTTTTTCAATCAAGGAAGAGCTATATTTTCTATCATCTGGTTTTCTTTAGCTCTATAACTGTATGTACATTAGATACCTTGGCTGGACTGTTGAAACTTCACAGACCATAGCCAGGCACTATTAAAATTTTTTTTATTTAAAGGAAAATGTTTTGTTAACTGGTTACCATAAATGATCTTTGATAGTGGCTGTCTTGTTGAAGATCATGGCATTAAGATGATTAATTCCCCCTTGGCACTCTCATAAAAGTGGGTTTGTTCCAAATTTGGGAAGCATATGACAAACCTTAATCTCTAGAGGAAAACTGCATGAGAGAGGGAAAATAGTTATACTAAGATCAACTAGATGTCTTACAGTTTTACATAGACAAAACCTTTATCTATTAAAGAAACTTACAGGCCGGGCGCGGTGGCTCACGCCTGTAATCCTAGCACTCTGGGAGGCCGAGGCGGGCGGATTGCTCAAGGTCAGGAGTTCAAAACCAGCCTGAGCAAGAGCGAGACCCCGTCTCTACTATAAATAGAAAGAAATTAATTGGCCAATTGATATATACATAAAAAATTAGCTGGGCATGGTGGCTCATGCCTGTAGTCCCAGCTACTCGGGAGGCTGAGGCAGAAGGATTGCTCGAGCCCAGGAGATTGAGGTTGCTGTGAGCTAGGCTGACGCCACGGCACTCACTCTAGCCTGGACAACAAAGCGAGACTCTGTCTCAAAAAAAAAAAAGAAACTTACAAACTAGAACCGATTTGTGGACAACATCACCAAGCTCTTAGCCTTATTCTTCCACAGTCTTCATTTATATGTAATGCTACCATCCAGTGACACTTTTATGCTTTGTTCTCTTGAATGAAATGTTGACTAACAGGATTTTGGATACTGCCTAACTTACAGAGGCATATGGATTTACCATTTTTCTATTTTTGATAATCCATTTTAAGCTGTCCCGAAATCCTTGCCACTCACTGGATTTGATTTTGCGCTCATTGCCTCAATTTTTATAACCTTTGTTGGAGTAATGTAGACCTTGACAAATACATACCTCATTATGTTCCTTTTGTTTCTTCATCTGACATAGATTCAGATACTCAGACATCCCATGCCATCTGTATACCCAGCTTGGAGAATTACTTTATCTCTATTCTTGAATATTAAGTACTTTAAAATCTCTTAATCATTTATTTATTTATCTTCCTTTTTGGATACACCTCATTACTAAATTGCTGTGATTTTAGGGACATTTAGTACTCAATAAGGGAGCATCACTATACAAAAGAAACATGCAACCAACTGATATTGACAACACATGAAGAATCTCAATAATTATTGGATGGCTATTCATTCTTTAGTTGCTCCAAGTCATTTTTTCTCATTCCCTATTAGACTCTTTAACAAGGATCCTTTGCCCTGCAGGTTAAGAAAGGGTTGGAGGGCCGGGCATGGTGGCTCATGCCTGTAACCCTAGCACTCTTGGAGGCTGAGGTGGGAGGATCCCTCAAGGTCAGGAATTGGAGACCAGCCTGAGCAAGAGTAAGACCCCCGTCTCTACTAAAAATACAAAGAAATTAGCTGGACAACTAAAAATTTATAGAAAAATTAGCCGGGCATGGTGATGCATGCATACAGTCCCAACTACTTGGGAGGCTGAGGCAGAAGGATAGCTTAAGCCCAGGAGTTTGAGGTTGCTGTGAGCTAGGATGATGCCATGGCACTCTAGCTCAGGCAACAGAGCAAGACTCCATCTCCAAAAAAAGAAAAAAAGAAAGGGTTGGAGGAAGCAAGTTCATAGAACAAAATGGAAAGAAATTAGTTTCTTTTCACAAATTGTTCCCGTATCTCCTTAGTGAGCTAGAGAGAACTGTTTTCCAGTTCAATCAGGGAGGAAAAAAATCGATTGGTATGTCTCATAAAAATGGGTCACTGATATTTAATCTGGCCTCAGCCCAGTTTCCCTAGATTTTTGTCTTACCTGCATCTGTAGAACATTTCCATACAAAGTCAAGTATTTTGCTAAATGTAGCAAATCGTCCTTTGCCCCGTACTTTTCCTGCTGTATCTTTAAAAATAAAATAAAATAAATTGTAGCCAGAGGAAACTATTTTCAGAGCTGTTTTTACGCAGTAGGCTTAATATTTTTCCTAGTCACTAAATTACATCCCTATTCGATTGACTGTGCACCCTCTTATTTACGGTCATTATCTGCAGGTTTGGAAAGTCATAATGAACCATGCTAAGCTACATTTTTCCATTCAGTGGCTCAGTCATCTGGAAGAGCCAAAACATTCAAAATCTGATTGCATTGCTCTTCATTATTTCTTATTCTCCCTCCTCCGCAAACTCCATTAACTCACATCGGAAACACTCACAGGTAATGCCTCGGAGCTTTTGTGCGAAAATGTAACCAGTGGCTCTTCAAGGACAGAGATGACGTCTCTTGCAATATTTCCATCTAGTTAATTCTAAAGACCTTTCAAGTGAGTTGGATTCTTTGATCCAAAGAAATCCTGACCTGCTGCCTCCTAGATTGAAGTTCCTTTATGGACAAATATTGAATGTTTTAAGCCATTAGAGGATGTAATCCAGAGCTTTTTAAAATATCTCTGTGTCACTCCTTAGACACTGTCAATACAATGCTTCTACATTGTCCTAACGTTTTTCTTCATCACAAAAGCGGTATATGTGCTTGTGCTTACGTGTGTGGTGTCTGAGAATAACAGGCCTTTGGGGGCACTCATAGGTACTTCATTTCCTAAGTCCAGAACACTGCAGCAGAATCCTTTTTAATCTCTGTGTCATGCTCACAAGTTAAGGCACAATTCTGGTTATTTCCAAGTGAGACAACATCTGGTATCAGTGGCCTCATTGATATCTACCTAATTTATGACCAGTGTGTTACTGACTAGTATGCACTAAGGACTTCCCCTAATTTTTAAATAGTGTTATCACAGCATGCACAGAAATGGAAGTGATCAGATTAAAAAGTGCTTTTTAAAAAAGGTCACCAGATATACATACATAATGAGTGTGATGCGCACCATCTGGGGGATAGACATGCTTGAAGCCCTGACTCTGGGGGGAAGGAGAGGAAAGGCAGCACATGTAATCTAACATTTGTACCCCCATAACATGCTGGGGGGGGGGAAAGGACACCAGGGCACCTTTTCAGCACCATGGACAGCACACTGTCCCCATCATTTCTGGCTTTAATCATGAAATCAAAAAGCGATTCCATTTAATATATTGTATGTATAAGCGTGTGAGGCACACTGCAAAATGCCTTACATGTATGTGCTTACGAATTGCAATGACCCTTCTCTGGTGAAACACACCATGCCATCAGTGTACCCAACTTGGAGAATTATTTTATCTCTATTCTTGAATAATAATCATTTATTTATTTATCTTCCCTTTTGGACATACCTCATTACTAACTTGCTGTGATTTCAGAGACATTTATTACTCAAGCTAAATTTAACTAAGATAAATTTCAGTGGCTGTCCCATTGATTTCTTGGGGTTCAACATGTGTTATTTAGGTTAAGTAAGTTGTATTGTTACCTGTTGCTTTTTAAGGTATCTGCACTATCAAAATACATTGCAAAGCATTCCTTCCAGCTTTTAAATTAATCCAGTAGAGTTAAAGTTCAGGCATATTAGTTCCTTTTTACACAATAAGCTCATTAAATTGGAATTTGTGTTAGGTAGTCACAGGTTCTAATAAGAAGGTGGCCTGCTATTAGGTGGCCTGGCTTCGTTATTACCAGTAGCTCCATTAGAAAAACAATTCAAAAATAGTAAAATGTTTACTGTTCAAGAGGTATTATTGGACTTACTTCACCTTTGAAAAATGTTTACTTGTGGAATTTATAAAAAAAATTTTACGTTTATTGTTGTCCATGGGCAGTTTCTTCCCAATGATAGATTCAGGTGGAGAAGTATTCATTTTTAAAATGTTAGTCTCTGATGATTTTCTAGCAAATCTGTATTGTAAATGGATAAAATGGCTTCAATCAGCTAACTTTCATATCCTCAATCAAGTTGAATGGAAATGTTAATTTATTTTACATAGCGTCCCTTACCTTTCTAGAGTGTTCTAAGGTTTAGAAGCTTGTGACTTGGCCTCCCCTTCTGGGATATCTGCCTACTTCCTAAGTCACATGGAAATGAACTGATGAAACCTACTTTTAGGGAAAACAATCATTTATCCATCTACCACTCCATGGCCTCTACTCTTTAAGGAGTGTTTTTCTTTTATTGAATTATCATGTGAATATAATATCCTTAATAGACTTTCGGTTGCAATTTAGCCTGTTACCAACATCAACAAGATGAATAAAACTGCAGAGATCTCATCAGTCTGATGTGGAGTGTGATAGCCGTGGTGGCACACTGTGACTTTCCAATATTCCTATTAACCCAACGATTTTATAATCCTTTCCTAGTAGGTTATAACGCTTCCTTTACTTTTGGAGTTCCCTGCATATCATCCCTCCTGTATGTAAAAATAGTAAAAACCATGCCAGTCTGCAGTAGCCTCATGGCTGTTTAGATCTAGTCTTGTTTCTCCCTAGCTTCAGCCCCCTGATGGTTCTGTAATTTGTAGGGCCCTGTGGCCTGTTTTTCTGCATTGTAACTCTCTCTTTTGGTCTTACCGTTTTTTTTTTTGTTGTTACTATCCTTGGCCTAATTTGTAAAGTGTCATATGCTCTCCTCTATTTTTATCGTATTGCATGCAGTCATGTAGAATACCTCAACTGTTTTGTAGAATAAAGAATGGTTTAAAGGTATGAATAAAAAACGAGTAGCTTCTTTTGAATGATCAGAGTCGTATTAGAGAAAATCTTTCGGTGAGTCTGCAAATGCATGTCTGGGTTCCTGCTCAGGGTGAGGAAGAGCTAACTGACTGTCTTTCCATCCCTCTGGTCTGTTCATTTGCAGAGCCCTTCAGCGCCTCGGTCTGGGTGATGATGTTTGTCATGCTGCTCATTGTTTCTGCCATAGCTGTTTTTGTCTTCGAGTACTTCAGTCCTGTTGGGTACAACAGAAATTTAGCCAAAGGGAAAGGTAAGGAAGCTTTCTTGAGCATGATTCAACATCGATGCTATTTCCTTTACCTTCAGTGAAGATTTCGGTTTTAGAATGCATCAACCTATATTGCCTTGGTGTGCCATCGTATGAATGGTATTGGGTCGTTGATATTACTTATAATGCCAGACAAGTATGATTTATTCACTTCAACTGAAAGAAGGATAAAACAAAATGAAACATTTTAATCTTCTTATAATGTGAAGTCAAGAGTTATTAGGTAACAACCAGTGATATTTAGTTTGTTAAGAAAGGAGATTTGAAGAAGAGTTCTTTTGGCAATTAATTTTTTAAATGTGAGTCAAAAGAAATGCTAAAATTATAGTGAGCCTCAACTTCAGTCTATGCAGAGAAAATGGCTTTACAGAAGCTAGTTTAAGAACATTCTTCAAACTACTGAATCAATTTGCATCAGTTTAACAATAAATATAACTATAAATGGCATCTTTCCCCAAAGAGTTACATTTTCCTCTTGATAGTGCCTGACCTTAGTGCATCATGTTTGATCAAAGGGCAATTAGTAGATAGAAAATTGAATTGAGAGGCATTCAGTGCCTATAAATCATTAAAAGACTCCCACTGGGAGTTCATGTCACATACATAAACACATTACAGCATTTGAGTCGATTTCCCCCAATGCACTAAGTGGATGTTATCAGAGAGGTGCCATGTCCAAATCTCTTTCCCAAAAAATGACTTGTTATAGTGGAGGATAGGATATCTTAAAGTGTCAAATGCTTTCAAAAACAGGACACCTTCCTTTGGTACCTATTCTTTCTACTTGGAAGATTCAGTGTGGGAAACACTCATCAGTTCCTGGGAATCTCGTAAAGAATTTAGTTTTATTGAAATCTTCTTAACCACTGAAGAGTGATGACCATTACATTAACCATCTCCAATCAACCAAACAGTAAAAGTGCCGTACATGATCGTGCTGTGCTTAGTGGGACATGGCAAGCCTTCGCTAAAAGGGTAATGGAAAATGAACATGGATATCATAGCATAGCATTAAGGAGCTTTCTAACAGGGTGTAATGTGAGACAATTTCTGTAAGCGATCACACTGTGCTGGCATGGATCCCTACATTTGCATAATCCGAGTTTGTGCTGTGGTGATTTACACATTTACTTAACAAATATTTATCAAGTGGGTACTATGTGCTAAGTACTATGTTGGTAAATCAGATAGAGACTCCTTGACCCTCAGGAGCTTAGGGTTTCATTGTGGAGATAATGTGCAAACACACACGTTAATAATCACAGATTGCAATGAATATCAAGAAGAAGAAGAAGAGAGTGGCGTGATGGTGTTGGGGAGGGCGTCAGATAGGACGGTCACCCAGGACAGGACGATCGCGGAGCTGACACCTGAAGGATGAGAGAGAGTCAGTCATGTGTGAAATAGATAAAATCGTTCCACGCAGGAGGAACAGTGAACACAAAAGCCTCCAGGGGGAAGTCAATCTCTCTGTGTTCAGGAAACAGAAGAGATGTGAGCGAGTGAGGTGGACAATAGCATAAGATGAAGTCAGATGGATAGGCAGTTGACCATGGCAGGATTTCAGATTTTCTTCCAGACACGATGGGAGGGAGCACAGGTACAGTGCAAGAGGGTCTCTGGGGCTACTCTGTCAACATAGTGGGAGGGGACCGGCAACAGTGAGAACAGGAAGGCCAGTTAAGAAAGTGTCAGTTTTCCCTAGAAAGGTTTACAGTGGCTTGGTCTTGGGTGAGAGCAGTGAGGATGGAGATAAGTGGATACATGTGAGACATATCTTGGAAGGTTAAAAATGGTCCAAAGGCCATCATCACGTGCCATAATTCCCTGCCCCCCCCCACCCCCTGATGGAAGCATGCACAATAAGGCTCTTGTAGAGAAAAGAATCTGGCATGCTGCCTCTGTGGACCTTCCATCATACTCATCTGCTTCCTGCTTATCTGCAAGTGGCAACTCCCAGGAAAATGACAGCGCCTTGTTTCTTTGTGCAAAATGGATTTTTGTTATGTTTCACTGCACTTTATGGGGCAAGTTATATGGCCCAGTAATAGTATTCATGAATCAGGAATTCCTGAAAGTCTTAGATAGATCCTTTGCAACTGTCTGTTTACGATTCCCAACTAGCTGTCACTTCTGATCAATATGCCTCCCTAATAAAAAATTAAGTAGTTCATAAAGTTAACTGGATTGACTCAAATTATTTTTTTCTTCCTTCAGAGTTCCCAGCCTCATGGAAATAAGCCCAGAAGCGCATAAAACTAAGCAAAGAGAAAACAAGAGGTTGAGATTGAGAATAATAGGATTAATTGCCTTCTCTTCCATGTGTTGTGTTATGGATGTTATAAGTGCTGCTGTAGCCTGCATTTGGCCTCCGATATGCAGAAAGCTTGCTTTTCCTCGGCTTCCTGCCCAGAACCTCATAACTTCCATCAATCTGAATTCATTTCTCCATTTTATTTATTGCCTGTTCTGCTTGCATTGCTAACTGAGGTCTAAGTGGATCATTTTTTCATATCTTCATTTACTTAAATGACATAAAAATTAACCTTCTGTTAAAGGAAGACCTTTTTTTCTCCATGAAATGAGGGCATACATTGATTCTTATTTTTTTCCTTGCAAAACAAAGACTTGAAAACCCTAATGTTTGTGTTTTACAGCCTGCCTATTCCCCATCCCAATAAATTCTGGCATATTGTTCTGCCTCTTTAGTTAAGTCTGTTGCGAGGAACACTTAAGAATCTTAAAAGGGAACTGTAGCTCTTGCAAGGATACGCTGAGGGGAAAAAAGTGCTGTGATCCCAGTGTTCATTTTCCGTGACCCTGCAACGGGATATCTTCCATCTGTGAAGTGTTGGGAGAATTAAGCTCTATTGTTTCATTCCTTAATGTCTCCATTTGGAGAGGCTTTCAGCTTGGTTTAATTCCTATATTGTGCACACTTTACATCTCAGTTTGAGCAGGAGCAATTACGCGGGACAATCGGATTAGAATACCAAACATGGGCCCCACTGAATTGCATGGATCTTGTACGATAGCACATGCAACGGATTCTGAAGCGGCTCTCGTGCACACATGTGTGCCAGGCTCTCTTTATATTTATTAAGAAGATTGGTTTTCCCGAATGGAAATCCAATCCAAATTTAAAACAGGTCATAACACTACTTCTTATTCAAAGCCTCATTTGGCACAACCATTTTCTTTTCCTTTCTTTATTGTTTTCTTTTAAAGAAATGCAGCAAAAAGTCCAGTTAGATAGAAATGTAGGAAGAATGCAACTTTTTAAAAAAAAGTTATCATGGCTGTGGTTCCAGGGCAATGACAGGACACAGCTATGATACAATTACACCTTCCGGCAACCTCCAGTGTTGCTGGGGGCTGCCGTATAGTGATCATATATGCACAAGTTTGCATTTCGAGATAATGCTGAAAATGTCCTTTCTGCTTTTGCAGCACCCCATGGGCCTTCTTTTACGATCGGGAAAGCTATATGGCTTCTCTGGGGCCTGGTGTTCAACAACTCCGTGCCTGTCCAGAATCCTAAAGGAACCACCAGCAAGATCATGGTGTCCGTATGGGCCTTCTTCGCCGTCATCTTCCTGGCCAGCTACACGGCCAACCTGGCTGCTTTCATGATCCAAGAGGAATTTGTGGACCAAGTGACTGGCCTCAGTGACAAAAAGGTAAGGTCACCTTGTTTTCTCCTCTGTCTGAGGGCTGGTCTTAACTGTTCTTTCAGAAGGGGGTGATTCAGGTGCCTCTCATGTGGACCCATCAACTCTACAGCACAAAGCTACACTTTTTTTTTCTTCTTAACTCAAATTGTCACATTTCTGAAAAATTTAGGAACAGAACCTTAAGCTTAGCTCTCTAAGGTCTAAAAGAGTCCAGGTCTAATTTGGAAGCACAGTTTCCCCAGGTGTTCATTTTCCCCATTTATGTGATCTTTCTGATGTTAGCGAGGATCTATGATTCAAGAGCACGGTAAAGCTTAGGTTGGAATTCACCCTTTCTAGGAGAGCATGATGTTGAGGAAGGTCCCCTAGCCTGGACGAGGAGACACTTGGGTGAAGGAAGGCTGTAGGGTTAGCTACCTCCTGCTCCGGGACCTTGCATGAGTCCCTTATACACTTCCTGCCTGGGATTCCTCAACTGCGACATGAAAAAAAGGTCATCTCTTAGCCTTAGCCAGAGACAATATTATCTGACAACTCCTCTAAACCTCACAGCCAAATCGGCCTCATCTTTAGCACCTGTGACTCACCTGAGATGTCTTTACGGCACACTAAGGCAGCAGAGACCACAGCACACAAAAGACGCAGACAGGGTTTTCTTTTTCCTTTTCTTTTCTTTTTTCTTTTAAAGTTCCCCCTGGTTCTTTCTACTCACACACATCTCCCCTCTTCCCCCGTGGGGCTGTGCCTCCCACGTCAGCCGGATGGGAGTGTCCGCACCTGCTCTCTGCTTTCTCCACTGCAATCTAACGGGGCTTTGGGGGGTTTGAGTGGCTGTTCAGAAATGCACACAGAGGGAGAAAAGAGGAAAACCAGGCGCATCCTCCTTTTGAAATTTTAGTTCAGGAAGCAGATCGTGACTTGCAAAGCTCAGCAATGTTGAGACTGCAGCCCCGCAGAGATTCTTCTGTTTGGTGTGCGCGAGGATAATTTGTCTCTCTTTAGCAAACCTCGCTGTCCTGTCTTGTTGACATAAGCCTACGTACATCCCGTCTGCATTCATGCACAAACCGCTGAATAGAAAATCGGTCCGTGAAAAGCCTCTCCCGCTCCCCCATGACATACGCCGTGGTTGAAAGAGGTACAGACAGTCTTGTCAAGAGCGATGGTGAGGGTCGGGGCTAAAGGTGGAGTCGCTGTCACAAAAGGCGCCGTGTGAGTGGTTGGCCTCTCTGATGGCTTCCGCCGTAGCTGGAGCAAGGGCCACTCTGCCAACCATGGCGCACAAAGCCCTGCCTTAACAGCCTACTCCCACGTGCTTCCTCCCTCTTTCCTGAGCACTCTTCCCCTCTTATTTCCACCCCCGTGTCCTTGAGCTTCCTGCCCTATGCAGGGGTGTTTCTCCCCCCAGTCTTCTCATGGTTGAATCGCACCTGTCTTTCCTGGCTACCGTGATGAACGTGGCAGGCTGAGCTCAGGCTCCCAAGACATTTAAATCCTAGTAGGAAGAAATAAGCAACGCACACGCAAGCATCAAGAGCGAGGCAGCTTTCAGGCAGGGATACGTCTTGCAAAGGAGATAAAACTGATGAGACTAAAATTGGCTTGGGGGAAGAGGACCTTGGGGATGTGCTTCGGATGGAGTTGTCTTGCACTTGGGGATGCTCAGTGCATGCTTGCTGGATGAGTGAATAAATGCAGGGTGTGTTGCATATGATACGTGCCACACTTGGATTTCCTGGAATCCCTTTTCCAGCCCTGTTTTGCAAGCTTTGCTGATGAAGGCTCGAATCGGAGTTCTTCATAGGATTATTGCTTTCGGGCTCTGGAATGGTAAATGCCTGGGGATTTAAGTGCCTCCAAACCTTGTGGTCGCCTAGAACCGACAGCTAACAAGTGTGAGAGTGCAGAGGGCCGGCTGCTTCCCGGCTTCTAAGCAGGACAAACTCCGAGGCACAGTTTGCCCTCCAGAGCTCCCCAGGGGAGATGGACATTCGGCCTTACATCAGACCCTTGCGGTTGGCTTCTTCCCCTTCTCCAATCGTCCCTAACCTCTTCCCCACCCCCCTGCTGCTGGTTTGTCCTGAAACCCTTCACGAATAAATTATGTCCACCCAAATCCTTGGCCCGATCAGGGTCGTCTTCTGGCAGGCCCCCTCCTAAAGCACCTGGCATCTGAGAGGCGGCGCGTAAAACGGCTGCATTTAGAGTCAGAAAAGGTGTGCCCTGTTTCTTCCCTGCCACCTACTAGCTGCGTGGTGTCTTCAAAGCCATGTAACCTCGCCGTGCCTGCACATTCTTTGCAAATCCGGGAGACTGCCCATGTAAATGTGCCTCGTAGCCCGCAAATCCCTCTACAGGCACACAGCGCTGTTACGTGGCCCCTTCACGTTGTGGGGTCAAAAGTGCAACTCCCGGAAGAAGTCGCTGGAGGGACGGGAAACAATGGGAAGCCATGTCCCGGATGAAAGGATTTTTCAGGAAAGTAGTTGGCAACAGCGTAGTTTGCTTTGTGTTGCTATTTTCAAAGGCAAGGGGGAACAATCCCTTGCTGCATAGTTTTGGCTCTAACTAACATGACCACTTGTGGGGGAACTCATTAAAGCCACTAATAATTTGACTGACCTTCACTGGCGGGGAAAGACCCTGTAACAGGCTCCACAACCTCGGGAGACGCGGCTCAGTCTGCAGGCTGGAAGCGTTCGAGGCAAGCCGACAGCTCTTTTAATTAAATGTTTGATACAATTAGATAAACAGCAAAATTCTTGGAGTAAATAAAGCTAAATGCTCCCAGAAGATTAACAGCAGATACACCAAGAAAGCCTACAAAATAAAAATTTGTATGGAATCAATTTATTTTAATACTGTACGCAGTGGTTGGTTTGGTTCTGTTTTTTGTTTCTTTTCTTTTTTTTAAAATCATGAATACCTGTGTAACAACTTGGGTTTGCAATGCTCTGAGGCCGTCAGTGCTCGCTGTGGAAGCAAGCAAGCATATTTGGAGGCCCTGGTGTGCTCAGAGGACCTGGGGCTTTAATTTTAAGCAGGTGAATTGGAGGGTAGGCGCTCCCCTAGGAGATAGGAGAGGAAGTTGGAATGTTGGTGCAGAAGTTTTTCTAAAAACGTCGGGAATTATGATGATACAGGAAATCCATCTCTAGAAGGCAGATTTATGTCGCGGGAAGAGCAATATTGTGTGTGGGGGGCGACTAGAGCTGGGTTCAAATCCCGACTTTGCTATACAATGGCTGTATCGCCTCCCGTATGTCAGTATCCCCAAGACTTTGTTTCCTATTAAAGGGAAGACATTATTTTCTTCCTGGCAAGGTTGATACGGGGGTTAGAAATAATCCACACACCATGCCTGGCACATGGTAGACAACCCTGTTGTGTTAAGTGCCATTTCCTCCTTCCCGCTCCCCTCTCTTTCCTCTCTCTCTTCTTCCTCCCCCTCCTCCTCCTCCCCATCCTCCTTATGATCACTGCCTGATCCCAACTGTTCTTCACTTCCAGGACCTAAAGTGTTACTGCACCAACTAGGTCTTTTTGGAAGGAATTCAGGGAACTTCACTGGGAGGATGAGCCCGTGAGTGTGTTGTCAAGGAGTCGTGCTGTCTCTGGGCACTGCGACTGTCCTGCCACGTGCTCCCAGTCCAGGCAGGCGGCCTCCAAGTTAGTCCTCCCTCTGCCGAAGGCCACACCTGCTTGGTGCTCTCGTCAAGAAGCACGTGGAGCTTCACCATCAGAAGACTGTGCTAGAAATAGGGGCTCCGGTTGCCAGATGTCCCGTATTTAAAGATGCAGGAGACAGATATTTTTAATAAATGGGTAGCTTTGGGTTCCTAAGAAGAATGAAGCAATGTCATGTTAATTGCTGCATTTGTCCTGCAATGTTTATGTCCTAGCCCTGTATCTCTTACCTCCTCCATCATAAAATGCTTGCCATGTCTTAGTCACTGGGAGGACCCCTTGGACCTGTCCCCATAGTGAATGAGAAAAAAAAATAGAAAATAATCCTCTGTTCTCCAAACCGAAGGGAGACAGTCTCCCTTATCTGACTAACGTCGCTGTGGGTAAGGACAGGTGGTACCTACCAAGCCTCAGAGGATGTCAGGTGTTCTTTTGAGCACTTTAAGAGTAGTTGCAAAAGCAATCCTCAATTTACAGATACAGAAACTGAGGCTCAGAGAGCTTAAGTGGCTGCCCCAAATGATTCAGTTTCTAAATGGCAGAGGAGAAGCTGAACTTGGCTTCTCTTAAGTCCAAGGTGGGATGAAGCCAGTTAACATAAACAGCGAGGGCAGCCCGGAGAGCGGCCAGCAGAGTTCTTTGAATGCTGGATGTGGTGATTATGTTGCTCTGTGGTCTTGCTGACAACAGAGACCTTTGCCCTGCCCCTTCCTTTGCTGAAGCCCACAGTCGTTTCTTTCTGCCTGCACGAGGGACTCTCTGGGAGAAAGTTGCACTAGAAATCATTCCTGTAGGGAAAACATGGCATGTGTCCGTAATGTTGACCCTGGGACTTAACAGATGAGCGACCCTCGCTCCCTAACTGTTTTTCCCGCCGTATGTCAGTCATGACTCCTTAGTGAGCCATGAAATTGATTTAAGGGTTGCAAACATTTTTTTTTAAAAAAGAACATAATGGATAACATCAGAGCGTATCCCATGTAGAAAGAATGAGTACCGGGAAGTTCGGTATGTACTATGGCAAATGTACCGTGAGTCATGCTTTAGAAAGTGTGACAGTCTGTCGTCTAGAAGGAAAGAGTCCTGGATCTTGGTGTCGGGCTGAATTCTGTGTGGGCGGTGGTACTATCAAGGCCAGGGAGCTGGAGACACCATCACGGAGGCTGCATGTCTGTCTCCGTCACCGTGCAGACCAGAGGCAGGGAGGAAGGCGAGTCTTCAAAGAGCTCTCTGCGGCAGATGGGGAGTGAGGCGGAAGGCATTGAGTCAAATAGGCCGGCTCTGGATGTCTCTGGAGACGGGGAACGGCTATCACAACAACCTGATTTATGAACAGAGCTAGTGCCTCTGTCCCTCCGAGCAGGGCCTGCCGTGCACATGCGCCTGGGCTTGTGCCTTGTCATCTTTCGGTGAAGAGTTAAGGTGCCGCTTGGCAGAGTGACCGCCAAGAGCATTTTGCTGTTCACACGCATGCACGTGCACACGCACGCACACGCACACACACACACGCACGCATACACGCTGTCCCGGCACAAGGCGCGCCCTGGCAGGCGCATCTCATTTGGACAACGGATGGCCACTTCTCCCAAACCCGGTTACGTCTGCTTATTAGGCAGTGGCAAGCCTAATTTAGGGGAAGTGATTTTCAACTGGAAATTTTAATTAACAGTGAAATGAAGTGTGAGTCTGGAAAAAAGAATAAAGTTTCTAGTTGTCTGACTCTTGGGTAAACGCGCACAACTTTCTCTGGCAGCTCTTGGCTCCGTGGGACACACGCTGGTCTGGACGTCGCAAAGGCCTCGTGGTCCTGGCTCTGACACTGAATTGCTGGGTGTTCTTCCCCTTGGGGGTCTCCGGGTCCCTGTCTCTGAAGGAGGAGGAATTGCTAGCAATGGGCTCTGAGGGACGATAGGGTGAAGACCTTGGCCTGTGGCCAAGCGTGTCTAGGTTTGAATTCTGGGACACACATACTAGTCGTGTAGCATTAAACACGTCACACAACCTCTCTGAGCCTCTGTTTTCTCATCTGTAAGATGGAGCTGCTAAAATCAGCTGCCTGGCAGGGTTTTGTGAGGACTAAATGAGCCGACATTTGTAAAGTTCTTGGCACAGTGCTGGCCCTAACTAAGTTCTCCAGAAAGTGTTAGTCAAGATTATCATTACTTTCTCGTTCCAGAATTCCATATTTCGTAGAAAAATGAGGCTCGGGTTACTTTTTTGCCCACAATAATAATACAAATTAAAAGTAGCAATAAGGGCTTTAGTTTTGAGTGCTTGTTCTGGTCTGGGCACTATTCCAATTACTTAACAAACATTATATTTTTAGGCCTTCATAGTGACCCTACCAGGGAAGTGCTGGCATCACCCCCACTCTGCACATGGCAGTGTGACAGGAATGTCTTGTCTAAGGTCTGACAGTTTGTGAGGGATAGAACCCGATTTTCCAGCAGTCAGTATGAGTACATACTCGGAACCACTGCCCTGTGCCGCCTGTAGTTTTTAGTTGTATTTGGGGGACTCAGATCCAGTTCCCTTGACTTCTAATCAGGTTGAGTCACCTGAAACATGAAAACCGTGGACTGACAGTATCAGCCAGTCCATCGGCAAAAACTCATGACTCCCTTCCGGGGGCTGGAGAGCCAGGCAAGACCCAGGTATGGCCAGGAAACCAACAGTCAACAGAGACAGCAGCTCCCCAAGGATGCATGGCGCCTGCCACATGCCGGTCATTGGGCTCTTGAGAAATACTGCTTATACGAATGAATGAATGAGCGAATGAGTGCAGGATGAATGAATGGCAGCACATGGTCATTTCTGGGTGAGGTGAAGGCAATTGTAAACGGGGTTCAGAGAAGGGAGTGATTGTGGAGATCATGGGAACTTTCATCATAAGGTGGATAAATGAACAAAGGTAGTACCTTAATTCCATTTCGGTCTGCATTTCCTGAGCACCAACTGTGTACCTAGCACGATGCTAGTCTCCATAATGGCACAGAAAAGTTCAACCCAACAAATATCTATGGGGCACCCCGCCAGGCCCCGAGCTGGGAACCGGGGAACAGTACAGAAGACAGGCACTGTTCCCACCCTCCGGGAGCACACAGACCTGTGTAAGATGCGATTAAGTAGAAAGAAAGCACAAAAATAAATGTTTCTTTTTCTTGCTGTCCTGACCTAATGTATGCATATTTTGACCTCCCAATATCACATGAAATGATCACTAATTTCTTCTTCCTCCTCCTCTTCTTCTCCTTTTCCCCTCCTCCTCCTCCTCCTTCTCCTCCTCCTCTTCCTCCTCTTCCTCTCTCTTCTTCTCTTTCTCCCTCCAGTTTCAGAGACCTCATGACTATTCCCCACCTTTTCGATTCGGGACGGTGCCTAACGGAAGCACAGAGAGAAACATTCGGAATAATTACCCCTACATGCACCAGTACATGACGAAATACAATCAGAAGGGAGTAGAGGACGCGCTGGTCAGCTTGAAAACAGGGTAAGGAAGGTGGACTCTTTCTCTCCGAAGGCCCACAACCCCCGCAGACATGGGCTCTGCGTGCCTCGGTGCTTATCCGCTCCCTCCCTTGTATTTTCTGGAGAGCGACTGACTGCTGTTTTTGTAATGAGCTTCCAAGGTTTCCTTCAGGTTGTGTTAAGGCAGAGCAAATCCAGGACACTTTGAAATGCAGAGAACCAGGGGTGTTTCTTAAACTGATAAAAAAAAGTTTGTCCAACTCCGTGGGATATTTTAACCAGATTAGAGAGATCTAAGAAGGTTGAGAGTTTACAGTAGTGTAAACAAAGGAGGATTTTTTTGAGGGGTGGTGGTAGCATACTGATAACAGCTTTATATGTAAACTAATTGTATAACATCGATGACGGAGAAAGTAAATATGGAGAAAAAAGCGATGAGAACTCAAACCATCTCTCTAAAGGTGTGGCTAACATTCTCGTCCACCTGTGGCCCCGTGGAGTGTAGCATATATTCTATAGCCGAGCTGTGAAAAAAATAAGGACAGCACCATGGTGAGGAGTTTCCGCTTTAAAGAGAGAGTGCCTTCTGCCAACCCTCATACCTAAAATGGGAATAATAATAGAACCGAAGAGAGAATATTAGATGGAAAGCATTTTAGATAGTGCCTGGGACGGGGACAGTACCTAATTGTTAGCGTTGTTACTTGTTGTAAAGGTTAAATTCCATTGCGTGGACTCTGTGTGCAATGCATTTTGGAAAGGGTTCCATAAAAAATTTTTAATTTTAAGTGAAAGAGCTGTTTAAATGAGGAGGGTTTTGATTATCCGGAAAATTGACTTACGTGGGGCATCTTGGCCGTCAGGGATTCCTGAGACAGGCACGTGACTGCAGGTGCCTTCTCCTTGCAGGTTAATGAGTAGCCTCTTCCTCCCTGGCTGTTCCGTGGGCCCATGGCGAGGGCCTTGCTGCCGGCTTTGTATGTGGTGCGGGATGGCGGGAGTCCCTTTAAATCATCAAAGCCTGAACCTCTGCATAATCCCCCAGGAGCTTTGGCTGCGAACCTTCTATCCTTTCAGCTTCTGTCTTTGGAATTTCTTTGGTGTCTTAGCAGGGCCTGGGAGAGCATTTATTTAGAAGTCAAGCTTATGACTTATCCAAAACCCATTCACATACTGCCCATTCTGGCTTGGATTATTTTCTCTTAAATTTGAAAGTATAACAAAAATGAAAAAAAATTATAAATATTAAATATACTGCTTTATGGCTTTGCACAAACTGATCACCCGGGTCATCAACACCCAGAACTGCCCCCCACACACATACCTTCTGCTGATCAATATCTTCCATCAACCACCCTCCCTTCTAAAGCCATAGATTCGTTTTGCTTGTTATTTTAACATTTAAATCAAATGTTGTTTTGACATATAAATAAAATCATGCCATACGTTTTCTTTTCTTTCTTGTTCTTTTTTTCTTTTGGCCCAGTGTTCTGTTTGTGAGATTGTTGCATGTCATTCCAGTTCTTTCATTCTCATTGCTGTATGGAATTTCATTGTTAGAATATACCACAAATTTCTCTCTTGTAATCTTGGTGAACATTTGAGTCATGTCCTATTTGGGGCCATTACGAATAATGTTTCTAAGGACATTCTTGCACATGTCATTTGTTGGATAAGACAGTGCGTTTCTCTTGGTGTGTACCTAAGGCTGTGCTTATTGAGCCATAGAAGGTGTGCGTATTCAACTTCAGTAGACACCAGAGAAGACAGATTGACTTTCACAGTTTGACCATGGGTGTGGGTTTTTTGTTTGTTTCTACTGTGGTCTTTTAATCAACACATACAGTTGCTCTGGATAGGCGGTGAGCATGAATGTGGATGGCAATGGCTCCAAACAATGGCTGCAGCCTGGCTGGCTCCCTCTTCACCCATTTATTACTCAGAGCACAAAATGGGATGTTTTCTTTCTTTTTCAATCTTTTTTTTTTATATACAATACAATAAAAAGGGGTAGAGAAATGGAAACCAGCCTTGGCCATAAATTGTACAAATTGTTTTCTGGAAGCCATATAATAATTATAACATCCATCTTAGCAAACTTGGGCAGATGGTAGGTTCACTCTATCCTTAATCTCCCATGTGGGGGATGCTTTGCACTTTAAACTCAGAAAGTAGAGCTAAAAGAATATGAGTCTTTTTTTAAAAAGAAATAACTTGATATGCCCTTAGGGATGAGAGCTCAGCAGGGTTCTCATCTCCTCCTGGAGATTCAGTTTCAGTGGGGTTAATGTTGAGGGACACGTGTGCACGTTTTACAGGTTCCTTGGTTAATTATTTGAATAAATTGGACTAAATTTTGAATAGATAATATATGATTGGAAAATCAAAAGGTATATAAAAAGTGAAGAATCTTCCCTCTACGTTATTTCTCATCTAGTACCCCCTGCATAATAATCACATTTACTCTCTATCTTTCCAATATTTCTTTCTACACCAGTGCATAAAGAGCTATAGAGTTATTTTTTTTATAGATTTACAGTCTTTCATTATGTAAATGTATCATACTGTATTTAGTCAGTCCCCTAGTGATGGATATTTAGGTTGTTTCTAATCTTTTGCTATTGCAAACTACACTTCAATGAATATCCTTGGATAGGTGTCACACACAATGTAGAATAAATTTTTGAAATAGCAGGTCAAAGACTACACATAATTTTCACAGATATTGACAAATTTCCCCCAAAAGGGAATTCATCCTTACCCCATCAATGTATGAAAGAGTTTATTTCCCCAACATTGTTTTTGCCAAAACAATGTGTAATCAATATTCTAAAATTTTGATTATAGGTAAAAAGTGTGCTGGCATATATTTTAATTTGCATTTATTTTATTTTTAGTAAATTTTGACCATATTTTCATAACATCATTAAGAGCCACCTGCAATTCCTTTTTTTTTTAACTTTGATTAATTTTTCTATTGGTTTGTTGGTCTTTTTCTTACTAATTTATATATTAGAGGGATGAGCCTTTCATTTGTGGTATGATTACAAATGTTTTTCCTGGCTTTTTTGTTTGTCTTTTGATATGTTGCTTGCTGATGATATGTTTTTTTCCATGCAGATTTTTATTTTTCTCTAGTCAAATGTATCAATCATTTTCTGATAGCTTCTGGATTTTGAGTCATAATTCAAAAGTCTTTTGCCACTCTGAGATTACGAAATACCTTTTGCTTCCTTCTGTTTTGATTGCATTTGTGGAATTTGGAATTTTCCTGGGTGCATGGCATGAGCTATGACTTCATCTTCTCTGAAGATGATTAAAACAAAAATATGAGCACCGTCATCAGAGAACTGCACCAGGGTCTAGTCAACTCTTTGTTGACTTCTCATGTCCCACCATGAAACTGCTGCCTTTCAAGTGTCTCCTTCACCACACTTACAGAGCTTTTCCTTCCCTCACACGGCTTCTTGTTTCCTTTTTAAAATTTTTTATTATGAAATATATTAGCATTTAAAGAATAATAATAATAATAATAAAATGAAATCTTCAGGTATCCACCACTGGGCTTTAAAAAATAGTCATTGCTTTTTTTTTTTTTTTTTTTTTTAATAAACCATATACGGCATCTCTAGAAGTTTCCATCCCTCTGGAAGGTGAAGGGAGATAGATGCTCCTAGCCGAATTGCTCAACTTCAGGACATTCCCTTTATGCTGCTGCCCACCCCCAACACTTTAAACTCCAGCAGTCCTTGACTTAGGACACCCAGAGCAGGCAGCTGAGCTGTTGAGTCTCTCCCCTCCATCTGCTCCTCAGCAAAGCCATGTGCATATAGACACCAAGGGCAGTGAAATTCCAGGTCGTAATCTCCTGGGAGAGCCTTGAACACAAGAGGGACTTTAGATGATGCTCAAGTGAGAGTCCCAGGTGGGTCTGAGTCTGGATTCCATTGTTAGCTGCCCGTGGCTTTGGACAAGTTGTGTCACCTCTCTGAGCCTCAGTTTCCTTTGTCTAGAAAGGCTTGAATTCTTTTGTCTCTGAAATAGTTCCGAGATTCTTTTGTGTCAAACACTTACCAAAATCCAGACCAATCTTATATACTAAATGCTGTCGATTTTGCAGAAAGGATTTAGAATAATGCTCCAAAGCCAGGTATCTCCAAGCCTGGCCAGTGGACCAGTTGTACTTGAATCACATGATTGCTTGCTAAAATGCAGATTCCTGGGCCCAACACGGGACATTCTCTCTAGCCATGGAACCTGCGAATCTGTATTTTCACAAACATTTGCTCCCACTCCAGGTGATTTTGAAACATGCTAAAGTTTGAGAACTACTATTCTAAAGAAGTTCAATAAATACATTTTATTGAGACAGGCATAGAAAGAGCAGACAGACCAAATGCTTGTCTTCGGAATCCATAATTAATTAATCCTTGAAGAGACGCATAAGCACAGAGACTCTGGCACGTTCAGTCTCATTGTTTGTTGAAATTCATAAGAAATAAAGAAATTCTCATGGTAATTGGTGAGAAAATAGGATTTGGTGTGTAAACATGGACAGAGATAGGATTTTTCAGGAACAGATACGTTCTGCTGTGTGGGGCACCCCCAAATCAAAGGTGGGTGAGCCTTACTGACTTCAGGTTTATAGGTTGATGCTTTTCAAGGTGTAGCAGAGTCTGAGGTCAGCAGGGGTGCTAACAAAAATGTGGGTTCCTGAGCCCCAGTGAGCCAGTTGAATCAGAATCTCTGTGGGGAGAGGGGCCTGGAAATCTGCATGCTTAACAAGCTGCTCAGGTGACTCCAGTTGACGCTAATCAAATTTTAAGAACATCCGCGCTCAGAGAGGGAACTGAAGCTGAAATGAGAGGAGACATATTTAGATTTACAAATGCTCGATCATCAGAAGCTGATGTTCTCCAAACAGTTTTGGCAAGTGGGCAAAACTGCAAGCATAGCACTTGTGCCGGGTTTAAATTAAACAATGTCCCCAGCACTCCAGAGATCCTCATATTTCAAGGCGCA